TATCGCGACATGGTCCACAGCTACTAGTAAATATGCTTCGAATGATGTTCAATTCTACCAGGTTTTGACTTAAGTTAAAAAATCGCAGCCATTTTTTCCTGTGTCTCACAAATGCCATCTCCGCTATATAAACCCATCATCACCTCTTTTCTGCTTTTTAGATTATATAATAAACCTAGAATCATGTGAAAATAGCAGCATAGCGAATATCGTATTCAAATAGCCAAAGTAGCCCACAGATCCCAAATATGTCTGGCGTTCGGCTCTCACATGATGCCCGCATTACATGTATCTTGAATACCTTAATTATACAAGAGCATAGTCTAACAATTCGCCTTTCTGGGATATTACCTGACGGATAGGCTATTTATAACACTACAAATTGTTACCATTAATCTTCCGGATCGTATCCGGCCATGTCCGTGGCAAACCAATAAATAAAGTTTCTTATCGCGTGAGAAGGTATTTGATAGGTTTTCACTAGCAGAGGATATGTAGCAGCCCAATTAAAGGACTTTTGGCGGTAAAAATGGTCAAGAAATAGACTATCCCAGCTACTGAGACGTCTAAGTTTATCTAGGAACAAATTGCCTAAGACTTGAACTGGTTGACTAGTTATGCACCCCATAGACTATAGTAAAGAAAATTTTAAATCGTGCAAACACCGCAAACGTAAAAAATAATCCGTGAAAAAAAAAAAAAAAATAATCCGTAAAAAAAAGCTAATAAGCGAATCCTATAAAGATACGAATGAAAAATTTCCTTCGCTAATTCTTCAAAATATCAGCACTATGGATACCACTGAAAAGATTACGTCTATAGAGAGTGTAGATCAGAAAGATTTAGGCTTGACAGCAAGTACTGTTACAAACCAGAAATGGGAAAATGTCGATTCTTCCTCGACTAGATCTCTCAAACAGGGTGAATTGAAGAGAACTTTCTCTGTTTGGTCAATCTTGGGTATAGGATTTGGGTTGACTAACTCATGGTTCGGTATTTCTGCCTCTTTGGTCACAGGTATACAATCTGGAGGACCTATGTTGATTGTGTACGGAATTATTATTATTGCATTTATCTCTTACTGTATTGGTATAACGTTATCTGAAATGTCTTCTGCAATTCCATCCGCAGGGGGGCAGTACGTGTGGACAAGGGTTTTGTCGCCAAAGAAGTACTCCAGTATTTTAGCATACTTGTGTGGTTCATTTGCATGGGCTGGATCGTTATTCACAAGTGCATCGATGGCCTTGAGTATTGCTAATGAAATCATGGCCTTTTGGGTGATGATGCACCCAGACCACGTAATTCAGAAGTGGCAATTATTTGTTATTTATCAGCTTGTGAACTTATTTTTGATCCTTTTCAATTGCCACGGTAGATACTTGCCATATATTGCTAATGGGGCATTATACACATCCTTATTTTCATTTGTCGTAATTACGGTGACAGTCTTGGTCTGTTCTAGAGGCAATTATCAACCAGCAAGCTTTGTCTTCACTGAATTTGAAAACAATACTGGTTGGTCTACTTCAGGTATTGCATTTATTGTCGGTTTGATCAACCCTAACTGGTCGTTTAGTTGTTTGGATTCTGCAACTCATTTGGCAGAGGAAGTGTTTAACCCAGCAAGAGACATCCCAATTGCAATTATGGGTACTGTTACCATCGGGTTTTGTACTGCTTTCTGTTATTCTATTGCCATGTTCTTTTCAATTCACAATCTAGATGACATTTTGAATTCCAATACTGGTGTACCAATTTATGACATCTATTACCAAGCTTTGGGAAATAGAGCAGGCGCTATTTGTTTAGGTACTTTGATTTTATTAACTGCATGCGGATGTACTATTTCATCTCACACATGGCAAGCAAGATTATGTTGGTCTTTTAGTAGAGATAATGGTTTACCATTTTCAAAGTATTTATCTATCGTTGACCCGAAGGCAGGTATTCCATTGAATGCACATTTGTTTTCATCTTTCTGGGTTGCAATCTTAGGATGTTTATATTTGGTTTCTGATGCAGCATTTAACTCGATGGTTGTGGGGTGTATTATATTCTTATTATTAAGTTATATAGTCCCTACTTTATGCTTATTATTTAGGGGACGTAACAATATCAAACATGGTCCTTTCTGGTTGGGGCCTCTTGGATTATTTGCTAATATTGTGACCTGTTGTTGGACTCTTTTTGCGTTAGTATTTTTTTCATTTCCTTCGTTCATGCCGGTGACGGCAGGTACTATGAATTACGTTTCGGTTGTCATTGTTATTTATCTTTTGTGGACTTTGATTTATTGGTGGTTCCCTGTAAAGGGCTGGGCTTGTAGAGATAATTTCGCTGGTGGTAGAGGAAATGACGATGAGGAAGAATTCCCAGACGTATGTTTAGAGATAAAATAGATTTCATTTCATTTTAATAAATAATATATTGTAATACTTTAAACTGAAATTTGTAGAAAATGTCATTACTAATACTCTATATTCATAGTAACAATCTAATGTAATACTTCCAACTGAAATTCGTTTAAGTTCGCCTTACTAATAGTTTTGATTGATACACAGCTTTAGCAGATTAAGGAGATCCACATTGCATTACCTTATGTAAGGAAACTGAAGATCAATATAGTAATTATTTCTCTCAACTTTATACCTATGTTCTATCGACCTTATAGAACCATCCTTCGATTACTTTATTTCTCTTAGCTAACTAACTAACTTTAACTACCTATTATTAATTCCCCAGTCCCTCCTTCTCTTTTCTCTATCTCAAGACTCAGGGAATAATCTACTCTATTTGATGTATAAGTTTTACAACACTTTACATATACACTAAGTATATGTAGATGTGATCTTTTACACAGTTTATAACAAATGGCTCTGTGGCCGAGTGGTTAAGGCGGTAGACTCAAGTTCTACTATCGTAAAGATGCACGAGTTCGAACCTCGTCGGAGTCATTATTTTTTGAAGATTTTTAATCTTCCGCAATTTTTTAGAGAAAAGAAGTAAAGGTACGAAGAATATTACAATTTGTAAGTCTAATAATGAGTCATTATATTAAAATTATCAACTATTTCATCTATAGAAATAAGTGTATACCTCCTAAAAATTCGATTGGGGGTAATTAAAGATATGTAATTTCTATTACAAGTTCAGATCATAGATATTTTGCGATGTGTTCCGGTTGCTTATTTACGGAAAACATTTGTCAATTGTGAGTTACCACCTGCTTGTTGATACTCCATCATGAATTCTTCTAATATACCGAAGGCACCACAGACACCAATAATCGTAGCGACACCCTTACCTAAGCCACCAAGTAATTCACCGGCGATAGCGAGCGCAGCCAAGACAAAAGCACCACTAACAGAGGCAACTGGGATGACTCTTGATAATTCCTTAGTGATTGAAATATCTCTTTTACCAGAAATTGAAATACCCTGTTCTTTGAATTGCTTGGAAATATCTTTAGGAGAAGAACCAGAAATTCTGCTCCATCTATAGGCAAACCATGTGGACAATGAAACAATAGCTAAGCCATAAGTAAACGATCTAATTGGAGACAATAAGGATTGAGCTAACGACTTGGATGGAGTAAAGAAGTATAAGATACCAGAGGTTAAGTTCAAATTAAATGATTTAGTGTCTAAAGACCAAGTACCAATAATAGAAGCAGCCAACTGAGAGTAATTGCTCAATAACGTAGACGTGAAGTAGCCGAATACTTGTAAATTAGTTAAAACAGTGAACGCAAACAATATTGGTAAAGCACCAGTGTAGAATAATCTAATTGGATAAACATTGTTCATGCCTCTGACTTTGGTAGATCTAATAGGAAGTTCGATTCTATAATTTTGGACACCGATAAGAACAAGAACGGTAACTAAGACAATGTAGAATTGGGTCAAGTTAGGTAATTGAGATCTTGTGAACGAATTTAAGACATTATAATTCAAGGATTTAAAGTTGATTCTGAAATTCTTGATGAAATTCATTGCCGCACCATAGCTTTCAAACTTGTTTGAATTTGGTAATGAAACTAATTCTAAACCAACAACGTCTCTAATTAAATTAGTAGCAACTTGCAAGGCAACGAAACATAAGACACCACTGCCAAAACAGTAACCCTTATCGAAAATTTCAACCATCAAGGTAGTGACGAATGACATGGTCACAATTTGTAAGAAAATTAATACTAAGGTTGTTACTGGTACGGAGTCACCATTGAATGGGTTGTAACCTTTGATAACATTATTGTAGTAACCGGAAAAGATGTATCCAGCACCGTAAATAATAGCAAAGATAAAACTAGTTAATTTTTGACCACTTTGATATAACTCTCTGTCAGATCTCAAGTTCAAATTAACATTAATGAATCTGAAACCAGCACTCAATTGCCAAATGAATGCTGAGGTCAAGACAGGTAACAACCCCAATTCTAACAAAGTACCCTTTTCCATGGCAAAGATAGTTCTTTGAAAGTAGAATGGATCATTAATCTTCAAGTATGCATCACTGACCAACCCATAAATTGGCAATTGTGAAAGAAGGAAAATAATACCACCTGCAACTGTGTAGATAATTTTTTCATCTATACTAATATTTTCCACTGGTAATTCAATCTCTGGTAAGATTGGCAAGAAGAATTCAACAAAATCAAGAAGGCGAACTTATAATTGTTAGTAGGCGAGTTATTTTACACCATATTTCGTCATAAATACATACATCCACTCATATTTGATTGTTAAGATGGTTCTAACCCAATAGTGTTATTAGTGAAGAATCGACGTCTTCTTTTCGACGATTCTGCCAGCAGTGGAAGTCACGTGATTTTTGCAGAGCGGCCCCAAGAGGTGAACATTCTAGATAGTCCCTAGCAGAACAGGCTTGAGAGGATCATAAGAGGGTGAAAGAGAGTAAAAGGTAATGCTTCAAACAGTTTATTGAGCTAATTAACAATATATGTAGAAGTTCAAGTTTTTTAATTCGTTGATATTGTCCTAGTCAAACTTGGTACACATTTCGACAGCAGCAGCACCCCAGTCTTCACCATGGTTATGCATTTTACCTTCGATTAAGCCAGCTCTAGCTTCAGCTTGCTCGTCTGTCAAACAAGTTAAAACACCAAAGATGACAGGTCTGTTCAATTCGAAGTTCAACTTCATTAATTGGTGCGTGACAGAGTCACAGATGTACTCGAAGTGCATGGTGGAACCCTTAATCAACACACCGATAGGAATAACGGCGTCCAAAGGTTCTCCCAATCTTTCTTGTTTATCGAAGAATAATTTTGTTCCGTATGGCAATTCGAATGATCCTGGAACCGATTCGACTACGATATTTTCTGGCTTCACGTTCAATTCTTGCAATTTTTTGACAGCACCTTCGACCAATGAGTCGATTATCTTTTTGTTCCATCTGGCATGGAGAATACCAATACGTAATTTGGATCCTATATATCCGTTAGTACGACTTTCTAGTCCTATCGGCTGCATCAAAGTCCATTAATGTCCCCAGAATGCAGCGTTAAATTAACAATTGCCGTCGTGAAAAGACAACTATCGTTTCCTCTTGACACTTACCATCATACTGTTGGTCCACTTTTCCTAATCCTTTAACAGCCATCTTATATTCGTTGTAGTTTTCTAGATGTATTCGTTTTGGGACTGAAAAATTGTCCCATACCATATATATATATATACGCTCACATCATGCCCGATGTTTGGCCGGATCACGTGAATAAAAATGTCACAAATGTCCAAAGCCCCTCCAGTGACAACCCCCAGTGGGCCTGCGACAATCAGAGACAACTAACCGACAATGAGCGGTTAAAATTAAGCCCACAAAGCCAGTGCGATTTCCGGCGATGTTGATGAATGGTACACGCACTACGTTTACTTATGCTTGTCACCATCTCCTGGAACATAAATAGTGAACAAAAAAAAATTTTCTGTCTAGGAGGAAGAGATCTTTTTATTAGCCAATGTTGTATTCAAGTATGTATTTCTAACATTCCGACAATGCAGCAGTGAAATGATGATGAAAATATTAATTGCATAGTTCAACTGATATATATGAAGATAAAAATACCATCAAATAGTCTTTCACCCCTATCTGATTCACGATTATGCTGTCGATTTAGATCGAACTAGTACTAACAAGCGCAGAAACAGTTAACTCCATTTGTTCCTGAGCGGTGTCATCTACCAGACGATTATGTTAAGGTCATCGGCTGACCGCCAACGACCTGATGTATTTTTTGACAGCTCCTGTCAATTTTGGTGGAGGGCAGTAGACATATTATTATATAAGGTCACGACAACTCTACCGGAAGTCGCACTTCTGGTTTCGTAGGTACACCATTTTTGGTGCATGTAGTGGAGTTTCTTATATGTCGGTCGACGAAACAGGGGAATCTCTTAAGTCCTAACTGCTCGATTTTGTGTAATTCTGTAGATTTGTGATTCGCACGTCCAAGTATTTAGTCATCTGTCTAGAGATAATTGAGCCACAAGTAAGAGATAAGATCATATAAGAGTGATAAGGATATCAGTTTCGGAGGAGTTATTAGATTAAGAAAACTAAGATGGCGTTTAATCACAATTATCAAGTGGAATATCCCAAGCGGATTTCGTTGAATAACAGTCCCATACAGGAGAGTAGTTCGATAGTATCAAATTCGCAATCGCTGTGGGTGTTGTTTAGTCCATCGTTGCAGGCCCCTATTGCAAATGAATCGGATATTCTCTCGCTCACCAATAACACACGTACTGATACGGATGCAGACTCATTAGAAGGGTCGATTTCAGCGTTACAGGAGACACAGGAAGGATCTTTTTCGTCAAATGAATGGTCGCGGCTGGACATGGTGCAGCAAGGTACCAATTCTGAGACGACCGAACGACATCGGACGGGGCTGCAGTCTGAAAGTGACTCATTGATAGACCACCTTGCGGGTAGTGAACAGGGAGGCATTAGAGGCCGGATTGGAGGTGCTGGCCATCCAGCAGCCGTGGCGAGAGATCGCCAAAATCGCTTATTAGAAACCCCGGGATCGGAGTTGCATAGGCGCATTAACAAGTGGCGGAATAATAACCTAGACGAAATGGTGGACGATAATACGGCTTCGTGGGACTTGGATGAGGACCTTAGCCTGCAGTTAGGTCCTGCGGACACCGAACGCACGAAAAGACCGTTTTACGGCGACGACATATTCGCTAAGTTATCCGAGCAAGAGTACATAAATTTCAGGAACGTCGAGAAGAACTTGAAGCTGTCACTCGAGGCCCTGAACAGCCAATCGTACTTGCCATATATTATCAACCATATCTTGTACAAGCTTGTGCATTCGCCGGCAAATCCGGTGGAACAGCCATCGTTTAGAACGCTAAAAACAGAGCTCCAGAAATATTCTTCCTTGCTCAAGGAGAACAACACCCAGTCGTTCTTGGACTCTATCATCGAAATTCACATGAGGAATTCCCATATGATGCACGTAGCTAACACGAAGCGTTCAATTTCGGACACCACTTCGGCGTCCTCGTTGATCCTTTGTGGGGGCTCTTGGAACGAATTGTGACGCCTTTGCCGTTCTCCTCCTACTAATCCTATCTGCTGCTATCGCTGCTCTTTGGTGACATGTAGAAGGTGCGTAATGTCTGGTATGTGTGCAATCTTCACCTCTCTACAATATCTAGGGTTTCTAAACTTCCTGATGTTTCTAATGATGTTTACGACTTGTATTTTTAGGTGAAGTTTGAAAGGGTTATAAAGGTATGACTCGACTACATCTAGATTGGTTTTGGATACAGGCTTTTTACTTCTTTCTTATATATTTAATGAATAATGTTGTTCCTTTTTGGTTTATTAGTAGATTGACATAGCACGTGATACAAATCCAGTACGCGCTGGCTAATTGATTAATGGACTAAACAAATAACGTATTAAAGGCAGTAATAAACATTAATAAATATACCCAGAATACCCTATTATATCAATATGTTGAGATCAATGTTTCAGAGCCAGGCTCGTAGTTTTTCGTCGTCGGCTTCGAGAAGCGCATTTGCGAAAATGAACCTTTTAGGAACTGTTGGAAGTGTTTCGAGCAGAGAAACCAAAGACGGATTGCAATTTATCAATTACTCGTTGGCAGTCAACAGATTCAACCCTAATGAAAGTGACGGAAAGAGCACAGACTGGTACAACATTTCTGTGTTTAACGAACGTCACATCAATTTTTTTAACAACTATTTGAAGCCAGGAATGCAATTGTATGTCGAATGCGACGTCAGACAAAGACAACTCAGTGATGAAAATGGTGAGCACAAGCATACTGTTACTTCATTGAAGCAAATCAGTTACGATGTTGTAAGATTTGCCAAGAAGACCGAAGAAGAGTCTGAAGAGTAGATATATAAGTAATAATATATGTATTGTTTGATAAAATAATGTAGAAGAAGCGCAGGAGCGCAGTGGCAGACCGTTGTACGGCTCAGCTTATCCCACTAGCGGAACTTTCAAACTTTTATATCAGCCATACTCAATTCATAAGCAAATGCAACTGTTAACTTGACATGCTCCTTGATATGGTCCCAATCGAGTCTATCAACCGTATCCATGACAGAGTGGATATAATTGTTGCTTAATTTGAATTCGCTTTCGATAATAAAACTTGCCGGATACCCATTTTCAATGGCCGATGAGTGATCTGAACAGGCGTATCCACAGGCAGTTTCGTGATAAGGAATATCGCAATATTCGCTAATGACGAGCTTGATGAAATCATTAAGTCCTACCGATGTGTAGTCGGTAATCAACCCGAAATGTGGTTCAACTCCAGCATCAATTGTCTTGGCAGTGTAGCCAGTCATATCTTGCTGAAGCATTCCGATAACGATTTCATTGTTTTTTGAGTACTCATGGAAAACGTCAATCGACCCAAGTAAACCACCTTCTTCTGCAGAATAGAAGTGAAACTCAAGGGTATTTCTGGGCTTAAAACCATTGGCCAATTGACCCGCAATCAATCTCAACGACTCCAAACAAGTAACTGTTCCTGATCCGTTGTCATCAGCACCAGGGGCTTTTAACAAACTGGGGAACAATAAATTTATCGAGTCTTGATGCGAACCAATCACAACCTTCTCACTATTTTCTCCCGGTATACTAACTATGATGGAAAATTGATCCCATCCATCGTGCTTGACTTCCTTCACATCCACGCCACTGTCCTTCACAGGTTCAATAATGCTCAATATTTCCTTTTTCAACCATTTGGCACTTTCAAATCCGGTCGACGATTTGTAATACCTGGTGAAGAATGAAGTAAATGCAGATAATTTTTCATGCATTAAGTCAGTGTCTATACGTTCATAAATGTTTTTGATCTCTTTCGTGTGCTCAAATGTGGTTGGGTACTTATAGTCTGGAACCGGTTTATTCAATTGCTTCAATTGCGCAGTGCCCAATGTCAAAGCATTCGTCCAACTATCAACAGAAGACAGTTCGATCATTCCATTCTTAATGGCTTCATCGATAGGAATTTGATTGGTAACATCAATGAACTTCGTATTCAACCTTTTGTATTCTAATTTCTTAGATTCAGTAACCAATTGGTATTCTTCCGGACCTAACTTGATTAACCTGGGTTCGTTTGCTTCTAAAGTTGGAAAATCATTCCATTTCCAATTAGCGAGGGGGAATGCCGTACCTACGGCAATAAAACTAGTTAATAAAATAGTTAACTTCATATTTGTTGAAAAGAGTGTTATCAACTCCCAATTTTGTTCCGCTCCCTTCACAGCTCTCGTAAATACTCACAGCAAAGATAGACTTAAATTTTTTTTTGGGGCTATTTATCCGTTTCTACTCCATATTGGTAGACTTCGTGTACATTTTCACGTAGATGATATAAAAACACTAATATATATCCTAAATTAAAGTCCCTGTAATCTTAAGCCCCCATCCTATTATTGCAAAAATTCCTGGGTGCACGATACTATCTTGAAGAGATCTCTTTTCCATGCAACTAACACGACTACCAAACTGATGGATACATAATGCTATTGGCAATTAGACAATAATTATGAACTAGTTATTCATATTATCAAACGAAGAGAAGCCCAATTGCAAAGTACGCCAAATCACCTTTCCAGCATCTAAATCTACCGAAATACGCTTAAGCGTTATCCAAAACTAATTTTTTTTTTTCGTATACAACGTTCAGCTTTACCGAAAGTAATACCCCCGTACAACATTCGATTCTTCATTCTCGTAGTATGATTCATTGTAGGTTCTTCAGGCAGTATATGAAAATTGTAACAAATAGTGCGTTTACCAAACGCTTGATAAACAGCGAAAAAAAAAGTCCACCATTAAGTAAATCAACAAATAGAAGTAGATTCTTGTCGTTTGGGTTAGAATAATATGACAATACCGCCTAACACGAAGCCTGGCAATGCATTGCCCAACCAGGATTCGAAATTTCTTTCACCTACTTTGAAATTAGATGATCCGTTGCTAGATGTATTGCAATTTCAGCAGGATCAGAATTCATCATCATCGCAGTCTTCCAGAGGGGTTTTATCACAAAGGTTTCTCCATCCTGTAAGTATCGATGCTGTGAA